CCCCCCCCCAAACGGAATCACCGCAAAGGTAAATGGGCAGGACACGTCAGGAGCACAAGAAACTGAGCCCATAACTCAGCCCCATGACTTTATTACCCCAGTAGACACCGGGGAACGGTGGCAATCCCCAGCCTTGAAGAAGAAGGCCTTCTCTCCCAAACGTGGCGAATTACCTCAAGTTGGGACCCTCGCGGGTACGGAAAACCGGTTCCAGGCTCTGGCAGAAGGAACAAAAACTGAGGGCAGACTCACAACAGCACAACCCCCTACGGGAAGGGAGGGAGTAACAAGGAGCAGGAAGAGCCGAAGGTTCAGGGCGAAGGGAACAGCACACGGGCAATCAAGGAAGGAGGAGGGAGTGGGGACAAGTTACCCCCCGACAAAGCGAAGCAACACACCCCTCGGGGGGAGGAAGTGAACCCCCAAATAAAGCCTCCCCAAGGGGCTAGCGCCAGAGAAGAGGTCCCCGTAAGAGTCGATCCCTTCTTTCAAGCCTTTGGACCTCAACCCATGGATTGGGAACCGCCTGCTTCTCCCCCGGACGTGGAAATGAAAGACAACACCCCCGAAGCATGGGGGTCACAAGGGGGAGAAGACGTCGAGACCAGGCTGAGGAACCTGGCGGAATGGCTAATAGGCCAACTCCGGGCTCTCTATGCTGGTCAGACAGAAACATACTAGGACGAAGCTTATGTGCAACTCTTCTCCCTACTGGATGAGGGTCCAAGTCTGAAACAGGCTCTTCAGCAGGGCCTAGCCCCGAAAATTGACTGGCAACGAGTGCTGAACAAAATCTGGAACATTGTGCATAAAAAATTCCAACCCCCTGCCACAGAAACACACAGAGAAGCAGACCCCCCCCCCCCCCCCGCGCCCTTGACCAACCGCCTTCGACGGGCACACAACAAGTCACACACGCCACCCTTTTTGAACACAAAGAGGAAGGAATAGTGGAGGCTGCAGAGACAAACCTATCCAAACGGGTCAAAATACGTCACTTAATTGCAAAAGGGTTGTACCATAAGGGCCGCGGAGGGGGGATAAAGTGCTGGTGTTGCCAATCAGAAGGAAGACTGGGAAATGGGAACTAGGCATGTCACCAGCTGACTCCGAGGACTCGTACACCCCCGCCTACGGAGGTATGACACTATTGGGGTGGCACATGCAAAGGGAAGGGGTACTTGAGATGCAAGAAGTCACAAATTTTATTGCCGGTAATTACGAACCAGGGGCAACGACCACCATCAACGTGTCGTCAGAAGGGATAAAAATGACATACAAAGACCTCTACATAAGATTTGAAGAAAATAAAGAGGCAGGTCTGCTGTGGCACACACACAATATGCTCCTGGACACACGACAACTAAAGTTCAAGTCGAGCAACATCTGGTCGACAGATGAGTTAATTACATGCATTTGCTTGATACTGAGAAAGAACGCACTTAATAAAGGGATCGACTGGGTCTCGCATGATTGAACACAATTACGTAATAAATAGAAGAAGGGTCTAAAGGCGAGCAAGCTAGAACAATGGAGTGGGTCGATGCGGTTTACGGGAGGAATAAGAAAGGGAATCGAACCCTACAACAGACCGATCTAGATATTAGATCGATGAATGTAAACGACCTGGCGTCCCGTAGCCCAGATAAAATCCAAGCACTATGGGACTTGATGAAGGGGGTTGGGGGAAGATCATGGCCGGATGTAATCTGCCTACAAAAAACTCACCTAATGAATACTGCAGAGCACCTAAGGGTGCACAAACAAACTTGGCCCTTCCAAAGCTACCAAGCGTTTGCCCCCTGTCCGGGGAGCTCAGGGGTAGCTATTTGGATTCCACGGAGAAGGATGAGGAGGAGGGACGATGGGTAAAAATACTGGGCATGTTAGAGTTATAAATTGTATGTATTATTTCCTTATATGCCCCCAATACGAGCCGGGAAAGACGTTCCTTCTTTGAAAAAATAGCAGCAATCCCTACCCCGGACGTCCCCCTAATTCTAGCAGGAGACTTCAATTCCGCGCCGGAGAGGTGGCTGGACCGATGGAAATTCTCCCCTACTACTGCCTATAATCCAGAAGAGGACGAGCGCAGGCTGAAGGATTTGTGCGCCTCCCTCTCGCTTTTCGACACCTTCAGGCGTAACTATCCGACTGAAAGAGCCTTTAGCTGCATCAAGAACAATGACCCGGCCATACTATCCAAATCTCGAATTGACCTAATCCTGGCTTCGGAAGAGTTGGGAGGGGGGCTCTCTGTGTCGGCGATTCTCTCGACCAGCCCATACCCTGGACTAGATCACAAGATGTGTATGGCGGTTTGGACATTTCATAAAAGACCAGACCAGGGGGCCAGCTACTACAAACTTAACACCTCCCTACTTAAAATCAGATCCTTTCGACAGTACCTACAGCAGGCCTGAGACTTCTGGAAAGACCACCGCCACCATCAGGAATCACAAATTGCTTGGTTTAACAATGACCAGTTTTTTATGGCCAAAAAGAGCAATGAATACTCCAAACAAATCGCTGCCCAGAGACATTACCAAGAAGTCACAATCATGCAAGAACTAGTGAATTTAGAACAAGAACA